GTGCGCTAATGGTGGATACACTTGTGGTGGCGGCGGTTTTCTCTTTTTCCCTAGAACATTTTCTACTTTCTTGAACAAACTTGCCGCGAGACGAATGGTGTGGCCCAGAAAAAGAAAACCCATCACCCCACTCCACACCCTGACAGCATACTCAAGCACTTGAGTGACATTTAGCTCCTGCGCTTTTGGTGTAAAAACAAGAAGTGAAATTCTGTATGTAAGGGCCATGGATGTGATTGCAATCCACACAATCACTGTCAAAATCCACATAAAAAGTCTTCGCTTGAAAGGTAAACCAGTAATCAGCAACAAGATTATGCTCAACGATGCAATGAAACTTATTGTGTTGAAAGAAAGGTACTGAGAATAATAGCTCTGGTTTTTATCTGCTATTATCGAAGTTCCGGCCTCGTGAGGTTGCGTGTCATCGTTGCCTTGGGAAGTCCCTGTCAAGTCATCTTGCCAGAGACCTCCAGGAGGCGTTAGTGCAGCTTGAAAGGCCATTGTTGCAATAAGTGATGCCACCACCATCAATGCATCTCGCTTTCTAGTAAGCCAATCTTCATCCTGGGTAGCCTTTTGCACATATTCTTGGGATGGTGGTGTGGCTGGAATCTGAGCAATTAGGGGTCTTGCCTTAGTTCTCAATCCTCCAATTCTAGGCCCCGTGTATGAAATTTCTGCAGCTCTTAGTGCTCCGGCATCTCGAAGAGACTCAGCAATGTCAAAGTCTTTCAAGCCTCTGTTACTTTGTGCAAGAACGTCCATAGCAGTAAAACCATTTGCATTTAGAGCATTTACTTCAACGCTAGTATTGAAAAGCAAATATTTTATTGTCTGCACATACACATTTGTTATTAGTACTACACATGATTAATAACGGCAGCAGCAAAACAGAAAGAATCCTATTCCGCTACATTCTTAATAGCAACATTTCCAAATGATTAAGGTATAATTTAATATCACTGGCCAAACTCAATTAAAGGGGAAAAAAAAGGACACGAGGCTTAGACCTGATACGTTATGTTGATCTATACCTCAATTTGTTTGTAAGCTACCGCTCGGTGCAAGACAGTCATGCCATAATCATCCTTCGCACTCACAATTTCATTGTCATCCATCACTTCAATCAATAGCTTCAGAGACTCAATTTGTCCGTACTTCACGCATAAGTGCAATATGTTCTCTCCGCAAGCCACAGTGACCTGAGCTGCGTGTGGTCTGGCATGGATTAGCTCCTTTAAAACATCAACCTGGCCCTTCATGGCTGCAAGGTGAAGAGGATTTCTTTCCTCTGTGTCACGAGCCAGGCACACGTCAGGGTTTACGAATAGCAATGCTTTAACTATTTCAACATACCCTTTTGCAGAAGCCAAGTGAAGAGCTGATGAACCCCTTGAATCTAATTCTCTGGTCAACTCTGGCTTCCTATGTATAATCTCCTTCACAAAATCTGTATGCCCAAGCATTGCTGCTACATGCAAAGGAGTCTCAGTGGTATAATTAACGAGCACTCTGTCCAGAAGCAGTCGATCCTGTTGAATTAATTCTAAGAAGGTAGTCACACTCCCCTCTTCTGCTGCTTCATAAAGCTTGCTTTCTGATGACATTCTTGCCATTTTCTTGCGCAGAAAGTTGCAGAGAACCGGACCTGGGGCAGGTTAAAGATTTATAGACGGGAGAGCTTTGAGTCAAATTGCTTGAGTTCAAATGTGGAAGCAGCCCCATCAAATTTGTTTGATTGTCAATTGTTTCTTGGTGATGTTTGCAAAGCTGTTGAATGGGTTTTTAAAAATGGTGCTTATATTGACTTAGAAGGATGCCACTGGGGTGAAGTATATGGGGAGGGGATCATCTCTGGTTAATCTCAATAAAATATTCGTAGACAACTCCAACACTCAAAACTTTCTTTGCTCATAAAACGAATTTTTATCACCATTATTTTCCTAAATAAATGTTTTCATAGGGCAGGTGGGCAAATATTATTGAATAGTCAAGCAATGTAACATTGATTGGAGACATCAATCTATCAAGGATACAAGCTGAACAATATTGACCATGAAAAAAAAATTCCAACACTACACTGACTTGATTTCCTGTGACAAATTGCCAAATAGAAGCCCTGACATAACACCATAACTAATGTTAATATAATTCTTCCTCAATATTATTTTTAGCTTAAACAATAAAAAAATTTCCTTAATTAAAATTATTTTTTTGACTAAAATTTTCATTTATCACAATTGGATCTACACTCGTAAACATTTTATGCTTACATAATATATGACTTAGGTAATTGACGTGATCAATTGTCTCCAAAATTCGGTGAACCACATCGGGATCGAATTTTGAGTAGATGTAAGAGACAGGAAAAGAAAAAAGAACATGGGAAGGCTTATATAGCATCCTCTCAAAACTACATTTGAAAAGAGGTGAGAAAAAAATTAATAAAAAAAATATCACATTAATAGTTACGTGATCACATTAATGCAAATAGAAAAAATTAATTTATAATTTAAATTAAGAATTTATTTAAATATAAGTTAAGATTTAAAAATATAGTTAAAAATTGCAAAAGATAACAGCTTAAATGAAAAAATATTACAGTTACGAGAGTTTTTTATTATTTATGAGTTAGTCAAATTCCAGCTTGAAAGGCTGAGCCAAACCAATTGCGTTGGGCAAGCAGAGCTCGATCAAATGGTGCTTTAGGAGTCGATCACATCAATGTTCCGTATATAGAGTAAAACTCCTTGACTTCATTTAAACGAAGCACTGAGAATCGGAGCAAGACACCGCATACAAGAAGACAACTGAAACAGACCTTGCTTGCATGCATGCCCTGATCCCCACACGCCCCTGCCTCTACGAAGAAAGGAGTGAGCTTAGCATGGCAACGTGGACAACGTTTCGGACGGACTACGTCGCATTCTATGGGGCTCGTACACACTAACTACCTAGAGCTAGGACTCACTTTTTCCTCCCCTGACGCCGCTTTCAGGTCATAGGACATTTATAGGCATAAATTGAAAATATCTAGGAAATGAACCGGGATAGAGTTCGATAATTTTTATTGAGAGGTAAAGAAAAAAAAATAAAATTTTAAAATTAATATATTAAATTTAATTATTAATAATTAAAAAATTTATAATAAACAGTATTTAAGTATTTAATTTATTAATTGATATATGATCATATTTTAAAAAAATAAAATTTTTTGAAAAATTATACTTGATGATTTTTTTGAATTTAAATTAATTAATTATTGATTTTATATTAAAAATATTAATAATATCTTTTTTAATTTAAATAATTAAATTATTTATAAAAAACTTATCATTTATTTTTTGTTGGATTCTTATCTTTCTTAATGTAAATAATTAAAAAATTAATGTAGTTAATATATAATATTTTTATTTTATTTTAAAATATTAAATATAAAATTACAATTCATAAAATATAAGTAATTAAATACAATATATAAAATTAATAATTTCTTCTTATATAATCAAGATTGTTTAAAGAGTAAATACTCAAGATAATTTTTTTTAATTATATATAAAATGTAAAGTGAATAAAAAAGATATACTTAAGATAATTTTTTCTTATATAATCAATATTAATAAAAAATAAAATATTGATGAAATTTTAAACAACAACTAATAATGTAAAGTTACAACTTATATTTAAAAATTATATAATAATATTTTTATTTTTTAAAAATAAAATTATTAAAAATAAAATTCATATAACAGGAAAAAAGAATATGATAAGTAAAAGATAAAACTTTTATAAAAAAAAAGAAAAAAAATAAGATTGATGATTCGTAAAAATTTATAAAAAACTTAATATATAAAAATAAATATAATAGAATTGAAAAAAATTAACAAATAATAATATAAAATAAAAAATAAATAAAATTTTAAGAAATATATAAAAAATTTTTAAAATTTTGGAGAGACCACCCCTTTATAATAATAGGACACTCCGCCCCTAGAAATGGAATACTCTTTCATTTAATAATTTATTTTACTATCATTCACATGTAAACATACGTACTACATGTATTTAAGTACTAAATACACGGTGAAAGTGTTTTATGGTTTTCAAATTAAACACATAAGAATTAATTGATAATTTTCAAAAATAATAATTTAATGAAATTCGGTTAATATACATATTTGATTTGATTTAAGATTATATTGAAAAAAATTTTAATTAATTAAAAATAATTATAAATTTAAAATTTTACATAAAAATAACTAAAAGGTAATCATACAGCACCACCATATGATGTTATCTTAACTCCGTCAATATTTGAAAGACAAAAAGTTGGGTTTCCTGTTCATAAAATTTTAGGCATGCAATGTGCGAGAGCCTTTAACAAAAAGGGTGACCCAAAATTAGAAACAAGCAGCGCAACCCAATCCCATGGGTGTGGTGTTTGTTTTCATTTCGATGAAAGGACAGCTTAAGGAGATGCAAACGAAATTAAATTTAACAATTTTCAATACGGCACAAGAAGGCATAAAATTAAATAAATTTAAATTTAATTTTATTGTGTTAATATTTTAAGATATTTTATATTTTAATCATATCAAATACGATTAATATATTTAATTAATCATATTATCATATCTAAATATATATATATAAATGACATGTTTAATATTAATAATAGATTTTATTAGTATGATAATGAATTATATATTATTTATGTTAAAATTTATTATATTTGATATTATTATTATTTTGTTATAATTATTTTTATAATTATTAATTTTAAATTTAAATAAAATATTTTAAATTAAATTAATCATTTAATTAAATCATATTTATAAAAAATTTTGATATATTTAATAAATATGTTAATTATATTATATTACACAATTATTAAAACATATTTATGTATATATTTCAAATATTAACAAAAATAATTATTTGTATTCGTATTTATTTTTAATTTTATGGTACAGGAATTGGTAGGCGTAAACGAAATGATGAATTGAAAGCGGAAAGGAAGAGGATTCACCCACAGTTGAGCTGGAAATCAGAGGGCCGCAAGGGAACCTTACGGCTTACAGCAGGCTAATATATCTATATAGGAAACAAAGGCAGTCGAAGTAAAGAACCGACACGTGTCTACTTTCCTCGATCCGCAAAACCCTCACTAAAATCCATAGCCTTGTCCCTCGTTCATCTGTTCTCCCACTTCTCTCTGTCCATCTCCTTCTTATTAACACAACCCATTTCGCTTTCTGAGAAACCACCCATCCAGACTGCTTTGATTTTCTTTCCTTGTTCCTTTGGATTCTTTGCGTTTGAGATCTGTGCTATCTCTTTCTCTATCTCTGCTTATTATCACCCAGTTGCCTATTGACAAGAGATGAAGCCTTGAAGATGTTGCACAGACTTGGTTTTTCTCTGGTAAGAATCAAAATTAAAATCTGGGGTTTTTCTAGTGAGTAAATGTTCGACTTGTTTCTGCTGATACACGTTCGCTCTCAAATTTGGCTGCGCAAAAGGAAAAAACCAACAAAGAACCTTTTCTTTATTTGGTTTTATACCTAATGGTAGAAGTTAAAAAGGTCTTCATTTTCCTCTCCTTTTCTGCATACAGTTCCTAACTTTGTACAGTCCAAATTCTAGAAGGTTGAAAACCCATTATAAATTTTCAATTTTCTTTGCCTTTTGATCGTCTTCTCCACTCATACTGATCTGTAGCTTTAATTGTATAGAAAACCCAAGTAGCTGGAGTCATATTTTACTTGAGCTGAGTTGGTTTATATAGAGTTTTGATTAGGATTTGAAGTGGGCTGTGATTAATTTTGGTGAAAGGATAACAATAAGCAGAGTTTAGTTAGTTCAACTAAACAGTTTCCAAAAGTGGCGAAAATGAGTTTTAGTGCAGCCGAGGATGATTCAGGGTCAGAGATTCATATACCCGCAGATATAGATTGGCATATGCTTGACAAATCCAAGTTCTTTTTTCTTGGAGCCGCTTTATTTTCAGGTGTATCAGCTGCTCTTTACCCTATAGTAGTCATGAAAACTAGGCAACAAATTTCTTCTACTCAAATTTCTTGCTTTAAAATGTCTTTTTCTATAATGAGATATGAAGGATTGAGAGGATTCTACAGGGGTTTTGGTACCTCTTTGATGGGGACGATCCCAGCTCGAGCACTTTACATGGGAGCCCTTGAGGTTACAAAGAGCAGTGTTGGAACTGCAACTGTTAGTTTAGGATTTTCAGATACGACAGCAACTGCTATAGCTAGTGCTGCTGCTGGGTTGAGTTCAGCTATGGCTGCACAGCTAGTTTGGACCCCGATTGATGTTGTGAGCCAAAGACTTATGGTTCAAGGTTACAAAAATAGTAACAGTAGCAAAAATGTAATTCCAAGCGTGAATTCTTGTAGATATAGGAATGGTCTTGATGCGTTTAGGAAGATTCTGTATGCAGATGGTCCTAAAGGATTGTATAGGGGGTTTGGGATCTCAATAGTGACATATGCACCGTCTAATGCGGTTTGGTGGGCATCTTACTCTGTTGCACACAGGCTCATTTGGGGTGCCTCTGGTTGCTCTATGGGTAAGAAAGAGGAGAATGGTGTGATTGGGCGATGTGGTCATAGGCCTGATTCAAAGGCGTTGGTGGCAGTCCAAGGGTTAAGTGCAGCCATGGCTAGTGGTTTTTCAGCTTTAATAACTATGCCACTTGACACCATCAAGACCAGATTACAGGTTCTAGATAGAGAAGAGAATGGGGTAAGAAAACCTTTGACGGTTTTGCAGACAGTGAGGAATCTGGTTAAAGAAGGCGGGTTGGCAGCTTGTTACAGGGGATTAGGACCGAGGTGGGCGTCCATGTCTATGTCTGCAACAACCATGATCACAACCTATGAGTTCTTGAAACGATTATCTACAAAGAGCCAAGAGAGCTTGACATCATAACTAGGGCGGCTGTTGGAAACACAGATAGGTTTCTCACTTGAGATGCTTTAAGCTTTTGTTTACCTTATACCCTGTTGGCTTTAGCCGGCCTGCTTAGTAAGAGGGGTTACTAATGTAAATTTTTCTTTTCTTATTTTGGTTTTTTCTAATGATGAGGATCACCTCCGTATTAATGTAAAACGTGTATCTAGCAGTTTTTCTTTCTTCTCTATCTGGGTCACTCTGTAATAATGTATCTTTCATGTTATAATTCAATCCTCTTCTACTCCAAAGTTTGGTTTGATATTTATTTAATCTCCTTGAGTTGAACTTTGCAATCTCAGTGATGCCAGAATTAGAAGTCTTTGATTAAACTCTTACGATGATGGATAAAGATTGAATATATACCTACACTTTCCATTGACTGAACAAGTTACACCTATTAAAGTCCTCAGTGATCTGGTCATTGAAAGTAGAGTGACTTCTGTCAATTTCTCGCTTAAGCAAAGATATTTTTGGGCCAAAGTGTTTTGCTTTAGAAAACCATATTGAATGTTTTTAATATGATATGATCTCATTGTGTCATGAAGGGTTTATTTGATGTAAAATGTTCTTGACTCTGCTCTCTTGCCTTTTGGCCTTCTTGTTCTGTTTCCATTTGCAGAGTACTATATAAATGGAGTACGACTAAAGAATGCGCCTTTGAGAAAAGGTAAATTGGCTCTGTCCTTCAAAAACTTGAAAAGACAGAAAAAATTTTGATAAGAAAAGGTCATAGTTAAAGCTTCCATTTTCGGTCATATAACACATGGATCTCCTCAAATCTGAATGTTGGGTCAGTACCAATTGTTAAAGACGTATTTTATAGTTAAAAAGAAAAGAACGAAGTAAATCATCCAAAGATTGGGCAGTCCACTATGCCACAACAAATGATGTCTCCTTCATTTTAATATAAGTCACCCGCACGGTCCACGAGAGATTAGCAGTCGAAAATATGTAAAGAAATCTTTCCAAGGCATTGTTAAAAGAGCAGGGCATCTTGGAAAGTAACAGTGAGAGAGAGATCACATGCCTTTTCTCTAAATAAAACTGGCATAGATTTGAATAATGGGTTAAACTATCCCCAAGATTTTCCTAGTCCATGTCTCACCGCATCTCAAGTACCTGAACCTTTTTCCCTCTATTTTCAAACCATTTTCTCGTTCATCTATCCAAACTGTCATAACTCATACCTCTGTTAAAGCAATTACTAACAATCTATCATGTCTAAATGGCTTTTAATGAAAGTGTATTGAGCAATTGTGGACTTCAAATTCAGTGTGCTGACCATTTTTTTTTTTTCATTTTAACAACAATAATGTCAAGTGGATAAGGGTGCTACCGGTTGGGTTCCATTGCTTGGAGGACAGCATTGAAGTCAAGGCCATCTTTGCCTCATTGGGTAAGCAGTGTTAGATGTAATGGACCATTTGTAAAAGTTCAACCCCACCTTCTTAGGCACACCATTTACATTTACAGCATTGACATAGTACAATTTTGAATGGGGGAAAACCTTTATAGCTCCCAAAGCTTTTTCTATCTGCATCGATAGATGAAAAGAAGCAGTGGCTGGCGGCAACAGAATAAGAAAACTGATTAGCATGCGACAAGCAGCTTCGGTAAGGGAGATAAACATTTTTCTTTCTTTTTTTTTTAATCAAAATGAGAGTCATTTGATCGGAGGGACGGAAAAACTAGGGGCTGATAAGCAAACCCATTTGCCCGATGGATTTACTATGGACCATCCAGCATTTGCCATTATTAGGAACCTGTATGGACCATCAACGTAGCAGAAAAACAATGGGCCAACCCACCATCATCTTTTCTTGTCAGATTTTATCCTCGACAGGCACACTTGTCCGAAACCAAACGAAACTGCAGGAGATTGAAGCCAATTAGGGGACCACTTCATCTTATGCTGGTGCTCTTTAAAAGAGAAAGGATTGCCATTGGAGCTTATATGGATGGCAGGTAATTGTCATTTGGTTGGCTAATTAGTCATTCTATCAAGTCGAGGGTAGCTTCAGTCGTGTTCACGATGAGAGCTACAGGTTTCAGAAACTCGAGGATCAGGATGGCATGCAAATGAAACCAAGTTTCAGCCGTTACAATCATGCTTATTTAATTCTGGAGTTGCAGTTACAATTTACAGGCTACTACTTTTTTGTATTTTTTCCTTCTTGGGAGGTTACAAGCAAAGGCTCACATGCATTTCATGTGCCTTTCATGGTGGATAAGGCGGTCCCTATCGAGAACAGTATACTTTTCTTTAATTAGATTGCCATCGCCCCTAATCCCTACCTCTAAGTAGTAACAGAAGAAAACTGGGGAGGAAGGACAAAAAGATTTTCCCATCGATTCATGTCATTGCTCACAGGAGCTGAAGCGAAGGGCCCGCGAGACTTAGGATGACAATGACAATTTAAATTACTGATTTAATAGATTATGTATTTTATTTTATGAGTAATTTCTCTTTCTTTCCATGTATGGAAGATTCTTTTAAGTCTTTTTCATATTCTTACATTATTATTATTTTAAAAGCGGTGACAACAAAATATAATTTATAAGATTATAACATATTCATTTTTATCGACAATATATTGAATAATAATTTTTTTATTATATAATTATTAAAAATTTTGAGAAGTGGATGGCCGAGTTTGGCTTGTCATGTCAACACCATAAGGCCAAGACCCATCAGTCACCAGGCTAGGCCAGGCATCTATTGTTTTGTGCTGGGCCGAGCCGTGTCTATACTGGCTAACCCATTTAAAACCTCCACGGCTCCACCAGGAAGGCAGCAGCCACCAGGAAGAAACAAACAATGGTTCCATCCCTTCCTAATTTTCTTCACCTTTCTCTTTTTAAAATAGTATGAAAGCATTACCCTTCGCAAGCTTAGAATACAAAAAGGAAAGAAGATGCATATAAGGAAAAAGATGATTCAGATATAGAACAAGACTCCCTTCCAATGGCAGGAAGAAAATGATTCTAAACCTGATTGTAAATACCCTAATTTATAATCAAATTAAACAGCGAATTCATGACCTAAAAATAAAAAGCCAAGACAGATTTCCTAGACTAAAGGACACATTGACTAAGAACAAACTTGAGTGCTTGACCTACAAGACAGTTAGCAGACCCTGAAGCCAGAATTCACATAAAAGCCACCGACCAGCCATCATCAAGGCCGTGCTCTCTTGTTGCTGCAAGATGGGCATTTGTACTGCTTAATATGCTCTGCCCTGGCTGGTGTAATCTTAACGCACTTTCCATGGAACCATTTCTCACAGATGTCACAGCAAATCCAGAATTCATCAGCTGCATAATTCTCTCCACAAGCCCCACATAATGTCTCTCCATGCTCCTCATCATCATCCTCTTCCACAACATCATCATCCTCATCCTTTGATGGAATTGCCTTTATATTCTTGGCCTGTGATTCAGAACCTCTCTGCATTTTGCCAAACATGAAGGGAAAGAAAATCTAATTAGGAGGGGTGCCCTTGAAATTGTAATAAAGAATAAACACTTAAGAACCAGCCACAAACTGCTATATCCCTCTTTTCAGGTTATCAGCACATGAAGAATGAAATTTGCAAAATAGTGATGCAACAAGCCAAAATGCCAACAACTTAATTTGGTCAGCTTTATATTTAAAAGAAGGAAACTTCCACTACTAGAATTTTATTTGTTCATAAAGCCTTAAAAAATTGTAAGAATAATGTGTAATATTACATTTTACCTTAGGGTTTGATTTAGATTTATAGCTACTGTGATTTGAAACTGATGATTTCTCCTTTGTCTGTTTCTTTGCTGCTCCTGTCACAACTTCAAATATTGTTGGAAGATCGTTTATCATATTGAAAAGGCGTTTCCTGGATCACATTAAGCAGCGTGGTATTATTAAGAAAAAAAAAATGTAGCTCAAAATATAGCATGCTTGTTGTGGGCCACACGCAAATCCAGTATACATCCCAGTTTAAGCAAGCTCACTCATGCTGTGCCTAGTATTAATGTTGTAAGTGCTAGATTTTATAGATCAGGCCCAGCATACTTTGGACGAGAACTAGGACTTGATAAAAAGGTTAACACCTGGCTCTAGCACATTCGCAGAAAAATTAAGCTACTCTAATGCAATAAATTTTCAATGAAAACCTTATAAATAGGTAATGAAAGTCAAATTAGTTAATGTGGCTTTCCGAGCCAACCAAGTAGCAAATTCTAGCCAAATTAAAAAAATTTACATAATGTACTAATTTTTTACCATAAAAAGAGTATCCATTTACAAAAAAAAGTTTGTCAACTGAGTAAAAAAGATACTGTACAAACTTTTCATGATAGACATGTAATTATACTATAAAAATAAATAATAAAACACCAAAACTACAAGCGACACAAATCAATTATTTGGCTGAACTGATGCTGGTTTGGTGTGGATGCCTATCAAAAATCTTAGCTTATTTACAGCTAGAACGTGTATATAAAGCCAGATCAGGAGACCACACGTGGGCAAGGAAAAAATGTACCTATCAGCTTTATCAAAACCAAACCGAGCACCAAAGTAGAAAGCCACAGAAAGTAACCATGCGTCACTGTGTACAGCAACCAAAGATAACCAGTCCTTTTCTTGCATTCCATCTCTTGCAAAGTTAATACCCAGCGCAGGCTCCGGAAGCTCAGGAGGCACCTCTTCAGCAGGTAAATTCACCTCCCACTGCTCACCGGGAAATCCATAAAGGCAAAGATTCTCCTTTTCTGCAATAAAAATTTTAGAATTTTGTTTAATTCGATCCATTTCATGCATCTAGAACCTCTCAAGGTAGAACGAGTCAAAGCATATGGCAACCATACTGAGGTTATAGCACCTGCATCCATCGTTTGCATCTACGTTTAAATGAATATGTTCTTAATCCTAATTGAAATTCACACAGAATTACCCCTCCCGTTATTTTCCAGTTCATCATATTAAAGAAATATTTGAGATGGAAAAGAAAAATCATAATAATGCTCAATAGCAGTACAGAATAATTTTATGACTAAAACTTCTACCTTTTTTCAAATAAGAAGAGACATACTATTTGCCAAAAAGCTAGAGACTAGTAAGTCTAACAATCATAAAGGAAACTAATCATGTTATGTCATTGGTTCTATAATAACAGCAATGATTGTCTACAATCCTGCATCCCTATCCCGTTGCCAGGCCCTATTCCAAATTACAGCAATCTAACAAACTAATAAGCGTCAAATAATGAGCACAATCTTAAACTTGTCAGCCAATCAAAAAACATTACCCTATAAAGAAAGACTTTTTCTTTTGTGCCAACTTTTAAAAACGTATAGTTATTTAAAAAAGGAAAAAGAGTTTACATTTGTAATAGAATACACGAGGAACAACAACAGAATAATGTTGCATTATTAAATCTGATGCACCTGAATATACAGATCTCTTACTTAGCTCAGAACTATCCATTTGTATTTTAAAAGGGGACGTTCAATTTAAGCAAGAAATGATAGCACAACAGTTAAACCATTCTTCTTCAGGGCAAAAAGTTAAGCATCAATAAAGCTACAACCGTCAACGCCATTGCATGCACCAAAATTCACTTCACTTATACTAAACTGTCAACTAATTCAATGACCGGATTTGAATTCTCTGTTTAATTAAAAGAACTTTGAAAATATAAAATTGTAACTTGAATTCTGCAGCTAGTTCATTCCTCTAACCGACCCAAACAAAATTCAAACAATTAATTCTCCATAAAAATAAAAGAAGAATAAAAAAAACTAAAACCCAGTACCCGGATCGCACTGCTGGAAAAACTCTTCCACATCTGCAACCAACAACACACCCCAAAAGCAAGTTAAATAAGAATAAACTTCAAAAAGGTGGTTAAGATAACCAAGTAAGAGACAAGAGTAGTAAATCTTTGAAAGAAAAAGAAAAGAAGAGAGACAAGGGAAGAGTGAAAGATAATACCAGTAGTAAGGGCTTTAATCATGCCAGCTCGACGACCCTTGAAATCTCGAAAAACTTCCTCGACTGTACGCGGGTTGTACGAAGCAGCGCCGTCCATCACCCAAACTGATTCTTTTCTTCCTTGTTCCTCCTCCTCTTTTAAGAGGGAGCTCTTTGTTTGGAGAGTGGAGATCGATAAGCAGAGGGAGAGAGGGACAGAAAGAGAGAAGAGTAAAAGGAGGGAAAAGAGATGCTTGCAAAAAATTGTATTAGTTAAGAGAGTATTTGACCCCTCTCTCTCTCTCAGTATGAAATGAAAAGAAAAGAAAAGAGAGAGACGCGAGAGTGGATTTGGAAGGAAATGGGAATTTTAATTAAGCGGATTTAATAAGAGAGGGAAGAGTCCGCGACCCCTGCCTCTCCGAATTTTTGGCCCAAAACCCAAAACAAAAAAAAAACCCTAAATGGAAATCAAACCCACAATGTCACAAACAAGGGATCATTTCCTCTGTTAAACCCATTTAGATTTTGAAACGTCATCCAGATGGGCCCAAGTTTAAAGCTGGTTGGGCATTGGGTGTTCATCTGGTCAGCGTTGTGGACTTTGGCCCAATGGCGGTTCCAGCCTATGCCTGTTATAAAAAGGGCAGGATTTGCTTGTGGATTCAATCAAATTTCATCCCATCTTTCGGTTGGGATAAGGGAAGGATCATGGGAAAATATAGATAATGTTGATGTAGCTAAATTATGGGAAACTAAAAACATAGGATTATACAAATGAAAGGTGAAGCAATTACCAGTAGCATGAGCTGCACCAGGCTACTGCAAGTTTATTCAAGGCAAAGAGAACTAATTTTTGTTGCTTGATTTCTTTTGGGTCACACTGAATTTTGTCACCCCGTGTTGTGAAGTGTGATTTTGGTAACCTCCACCTTTTAAAGCGAGAAAACTGGAAGAATCTATGTTCTAAAGAGAAGCATTAACCATGGTTTGAAACCAAAAGGAGCAAGAAAAGTATGAAGTTCAGATGAATACAATGCCAACCACCAATTGTAATGCAACATACAAGTCAAAGGGTTGATGCTGATTCTCCATCTCGTCTCTGGTGGACAAGCAAATTAAGCAAGCCGTGCTGCTTGAGCTACTTGTCTCGTTACTGCTCCCACTGGATGAAATGGATTACAATTCTCAAGCAAAACAAAACCTTTGATGTTTTTTACCCTCAAGAACTCACTTCTAATTTGTGTTCCTTACTTGACCCTTGAGTTATTTGCAGATGCTCATCTAAGACTCTTCTATAACTATCCCTTTCGATTAAAGGGCATGTCCTACAAATGTCCTCAAAATATTTTTCAGCCTCAACAATCATCCCCTTTGCGCACAACATTTTGATAAAAATTGAGAAGCACTCCGAACCGATGACATAACTCTTAGCAATCATTTCATTTAAAACTTGCACCGCCATTTCTTGATTTCCATCCTCACTGTATCCTTCAACTATGCAACCATACATGGTGGCATCAATAACAATACCATTTTGAAGCATGTCATCAACAAGGTATCTAACCTCTTGCATCCTCCCTTCAGCCCTACAAAGACTGCATATCACGGTGCTGTAGGACAATAAATTTGGTGAGCAACCCATTTGTGGCATCTGTTTTAGAAGCAGAATAGTTCTATCAAGCTCCCCTGACTCCACAAGAGTCCTAAACACTGAATTGAAACTTGAAACATTCGGATAGATGCCTCTTCCGTGCATTTCCTTCAAAAGCAAAATTGCTTCATCAAGTTTTCTCAACTTGCAATACACATTCACAACAATTCCATATGCTTTTGCATCCAAATCCATATTACATCTGACCATCCACCTAAAATATTCAATGGCTTCTTTAGACCTCCCCACAACACAAAGCCCTTTTAATATACTCATATGAGTTGCAGTATTATCCTTCACTCCATTCAACCTCATCTTGGACATCATCCTTTTTGCCTCATCAACTTCCCCTTTAAGACACAAAGCATATATAATAGCATTATAAGTCAACACATTGGGCAAGCAACCCATTTTCACCATCTTATCCATATACTTCATTGCCTCTTCAAATTCTCCTTTTTTGCAATACCCATCTATCAAAGTAGTGTAAGTTACTGTATCAGGCAAGCAATCCACTTCATTAATCATCTGATAAAACAACAAACTTGCACTCTCCATGTCACCCTTTTTACAGAACCCATTAATCATAGTATTAAAAGTAAGCATATTTGGCTTGCAACTCATTTCATCAAACACCTTTTTTGCACTCTCAACCTTCCCCATTTTACACAAAGCCCTTATCAATGTAGTATAGGAAGACACATCAGGTTGAACCAAACCTTCCTTCACAACCTGATCAAACAAGGTCTTAACTAAATTTACCTTATTAGCTTTAACTAAAACACCCAGAATTGTATTAAATGAAAACAGGTAGTTGTCTTTCCCAAAGGCTTTTGCTTTTTGAAACCAAAAGATAGCAGCTTTCATATTACCTTTATCCCCATTGGCCTTGATGATTTTGCTAATGAAGAAATCTGAGAGCTTTTGAGATTTTTCAAGGAGTTGAATGGCAGGGGAGAATAGGGAATGGGAAAGGAGGAGATTTGTGATGGCTTCATAACACTTATTATCGTGGGTATAGTTTTTAGGATTTGGGTTTGGATTAGCTGCCCAATTGAAGAAGAAGAGAGCACGGTAAGGGTTGGGTTGTTTGTTGATGACTTGGATGACTAAGTTTGGTTCGAGGTAAGGTGAGAAGCGGTTTAGAGGTGCTGAACTGAGGTTTATGGGGTTGGGGTTCCTTGGGTTTAGAGTTTGGAGAAGGGAAGTTATGGAGGTGACAAGAGGGGTAAGGTCCGGGCTTGTGGGAGTTGGTAATGGCTCTGGATGATGGCAGTGCCATTGGTGATGAACTGTATCTGGTTTTACTTAGATCCGAATTCATTTAAATCAGTAGTGCGGTAATATTTATAGCCTTTGCCCCTTGATGTGGTGGATTGGTGGGGCCATCGTACTTTATATGGAAATTGGACATACCTACGGGTATAAACAGAACGAAAAGGAACTTCCTCCACTTTTAATTTTTAAAGGGTGGTAGGGATAAAGTCCTTAATCCTTGTCGTGTACTTGGAAACATTTAATGGCAGCTGCTACAACCAGAAAGAGTTTAGTCTGGTGGCATCACCATTGCTGACTTCATTGATTAGACAAACACAAGTAGGTGGTGGGGTGGGTGGTGACTTGTATTGTAATGAAAGGTGGAGGAGGAGACTTGTATGTGAATGGAAGCAGTGGGAGGAGAGGTGGGATTTATGCTTGCATTTATAATACGGTGGGGGTGGTGACCCGTATTTGTAGTTAAAAAGGGGATGGGGGGGACTTGTATGTATAAGGAGGAGGCAGTGGGAGCCTGAGAGGGGATGTGGGATTTATGCTTGTATTATAATTGGAGGCGGTGGAAAAGGAGAGGAGGAGGAGGTTTATACTTGTGATGAGCCAATAGGCAGAGCTGCTAAAGGATGATGTTCCGGTGACTAGAGAAGTTGATGAGAGGAGAAGGATAAGGAGATATGAATCAAGAATAAGAAATTCACTCGTAATGCGAGTAGCCCCTGCTTGACTACCCAATTGTCTATATAGGAAGTTTGAGGACCCTGACTGCGGACATGAGAAAAAAGTTGTTAATGCTGAAAAATATAATTTTGTTTTGCAGGGAGAACTTCTTTCCTTTCATGGTTTCGAATTATCATAATTCTACATAAAAACGGCTTTTTATGGTTTCCAAACAATGCCTTTCTTTTCCTTAGGCTTTGTCTCTAAAGTTAAATCTTATTCTTTGGCCACTTTAATGGCTCGATGATGACTTGCTCTTAGCATGAAACGTTCCCACATTTGAATTTGACCATTGTGGCGATGAGTAATAATATCCGTTTGGAGGGCGGAGGGTCGCAGCACCGATTGCTTGAAGGGTGTCGAGATGAGTTTAATTAGGCCATATCATGATGTGGAGTTGGACTACATCCATTCGATTGATGTATAAGCCTAACAGAGCTAAGACTCCAAGGACGCTTGCCTTCTACACGACAGATAACAATTAGATGCTTTTTGGCATTTGCTTCTTCGAGTAGTTGCTACAGCAGCAACATGGTTGGCAGCTGAACCTTTTCTTGCTCTTGATATTTCTGTTTTTATTTTTGTATTTGCTTTGATGTGTCAAAATGGTTGACAACAAAGCCTTTATATAGATTTGTAAGTGTCTCTTCTTCAAAGATACAACCCTTTCATTAAGGCACTATTTTATCTAAAAGATATTTTTTCATTTTACCAAATACATTTTTTGGACAAAAGTATTGTTTCAATAATCATCTTATGAAAAAGTAACTATTCATTTCATAAACTATAATCCTTGAGTTATAATTTGAAACAATCACATTTAACTTTTGAGTTATTCTTTTTAATATGTCTCATAATTTTTTATTATTATTTTATCAAGAGATATAACTATTCACATAAAAATTTATCTATAATCCAATAGATATGTCACTTCATGTGATATAATTTTTTAACTAAAATAACTTTTTATTATGTGACATAACTTTTGATTTTAAAAATACACCAACAATGCATTGTTCTAAGGTCAAGTTACCTAAAACTTCAACATGTTTATCATTCCTTGCCGCTCTAGTTGTGTACTTTATGTGGTTCCATCACCCCTTTTAGCCTTCACCTGTATGGTCTCCACCTTATGGCCGATCTTTTCGAGTTGTGAACTTAGTTCAGATATAGCTTTTTCAGGCAGAAATAACTAATCAACATCCTTTCCAGCAAACCATTCAATAATGTCTCGTCCCAATGGCATGCTCTCATCCCACTCTTGTTGCTCATTTGGCTTCACCCGCTTGACACAAACCAATGTCTGAACACTGCCCATATCCTTTTTCTTGAAAGACAACACTGATTTTCCATGGAATCTTGATAACTTGTATCATCTAGGTCTTAGAGAGTGGTGTGTAACTACTTTATAGGTCTCTAGCCGGCTCTCAACTAAGCCTCTCCTTGTTGCTAAGATTAAATATAATTTGATTATGCTTGATATGGTTGTATTAGTTTCTGTTTTACGCCGCAACCTCATTTCCATGGGATCGAATTTCACTAAGAACGGCATGCTAAATCAAGTAAGATCAAGCAAAACTTATCATTTGTTACAGGTGAAATGTGTCTAAGTATATTGTAATCTTATCACATTCAATCATAAAACTAGAAACTCATCAACGGTTATAATATGCAGCGATCTCTTTTTCCAGCCTCTGGATTTCATTTATAGCACGACTCCTTGCAGCTGGATTATTAGTTGAACCTACAATAGCTGTCAATTCGGCTATTTTCCTCTTTCTGGCACTAATCTGTATATGCACCAGAAAAACATGCAGTAAATAAGGAATGTAGTATTATTAAATTGAGGAGAGAATGATCTAAGAAAGCCATAGTAATGAAAACAGACCTGTCTAAAAGGCCATCCTCCTCTACGGCCTGTTACTTCACCGTGTACTTTTATGTAATATTGTTTCAGACACATTCAACCGCCTGGCTGCTTCCCTTCTAGGCAATCCGTAATATGGTGTTAAATCATCGCGGCCAAACATCTTTATTCTCTTTCTCTGCATTTCACCTCAAAAAGGAATACAACCCCAAGTCAGAGTCTAGAATACAAATATCTAAAGCAGCATCCAAGTTCAATGAAGGTTGCAATGTATGTAGGTGTATATATAATGCAATTACTTTCAAATTCAAATAATCCATCCTGCCCAGAGGCTCTAACTGAAATAGGAATATACAGGGTCAGATCAGACAGTAGCTACAACCTGTTCTCTCAGATTGATTGGACGTCTCCCACGATTGTTCGGGTTCGTTGCCTCATGAGAGCCAGTAGCTGCAACCTGCCCTACTGGAGAGATGCTTGTATTCGCAGCTTCACTCGTCTGAATGCCACCTGCAAAAAATTTCAGTCAATTCCACCAAACTGTTACTCATAAGGAGATACTTGGATCCGCTAACAACGTATATTCTATATAGTTACGAGCAGACAGATTTTCACCCATACCCGGCCTGAAGCATAGGACTTTAAAGAAATCTGCACGTGGATCGTCATACATGCTCCATCCCTCTTGCTCTTGCTTCATGAAATATTGCGAAAGGAACTTTTCCACGTCCTTATAGCCTTTATCATAAAAACTATTGAAAGAAAATGGAAAAATGAGATTTATGACTGAGTCTTCAAGATTTTGACCAGGTTATAATCAAATAAGAAAAACATTTAAACAAGAAAGTGAAGCGAAAGAAGAACATTAAACTTACTCAATGTTTTCGGCACCTGAAACTACAGTAGTATCCTCGTCTAAAACATTACTGAGAGCATGAAAAAAACGTCCACGTAATAATTTGCCATGAAGCTGTAGTTTCTTAACAAGGGGGCCTGCCATGATAAAAACCAAACATCATTATCAAAAACGATCAGTGTCAAAAGAACAACCTAATCACGAGCAAACACAATCTCATTAGCATAAATTTAAAATAAAAATATCTCCCATTTCAAATAACAAGTAACATGAAACTCACCTTTGCGATGAGTAATTTCTCTCAACATGTCGCAACCACTACAATCTGATGGAGATGTTCTGCTTGGCGTGAGAGAAGGTTTTCCCTTATTCTTATGGAGTCTTTCTGTTTCCAAACTTGTCTCTATTTGACTATTCATTTCTGCAAAAGAAGTTGCTTGAGAATTCTCCAAATTGGACTCGTTATACTTATTCGCTTGAGAATTCCTTAAATTGGACTCATTAAGCATACCCGCTCAAGAATTCTCCAAATTGGGCTCATTACGCATACCCTTCCAATTGGTTTTCTATCTATAAAGGATTAATATCTTCCTGCTCTGTAAAGAAGGAATTGAAGAACGACGTAAAACGGGTTCTTGGACAGGTAATAAGTCCTATTGAGTAGGTAAACTCCGGCTATTTAGACTTTCATTTACCGAGTTTGTTTCACCTTGATTACTTGTGTTCCCACGAATCTTTGAAGGACCCGACCCAGAGCACCCTGCATTAGAGTTATCCTTCTTGTGAGTAAAGATTCCAAATAATTCCTCCAAATGATTAACTTTAATAGGTTGCTTACGTTTCCCACCTGCTTGAGGAATAAAGGGATGTTGCGAGGGTTCCTGAACAGTCGAGTTCACTCGAGTAGGAACGTGCGGATTGTTTAAATCTTCATTTTCGAAGTTTTGTTGTATTTGGGTAGTCGTGCTCAAATTGTTCATTGAAGGATTCGATTGAGAGTTAACGCATAATTCGAAGTGTCGAATTATGTAAAGAAGATGTTCCAAAAAGAGAAGGATTTATGTTGTTCAAGAATCGTTCCTAGCGTCATCATAAATGCATGATTCATGTTGCCCATGAAAATGTTATATCATCATCCGGTATAGGGGCTCCATGTTGTTCATGAAATTTAGAGCTTCATCCACTAATGGGACATAATGAGGGTCATCGTTGGGAACATTGGCATTTGGATCCGCCATACCTGAAGACCTGAGAGTGTCTATTACTGTAAAATCTCAAGTTCTTTGGTGGAAAGTGGAACTTTGGAATTGGTTGGTGGTTGCTCCGGAATAGTAGCACCACCGAGTTAGAGAGAACCGTGAATACAAACATTTGATTCATTAGTGCATATTGTTTCAATTTATATAGAGTATAGAACTCAATTGGAAAAGGCGCGAGAAGGCAGTTCATGACCGTTGAGAGGCAAGGTAACGGTTGGGACTGGGAAGCTGCTTAAAAGTTAAAACGTTGTTTGCCAGACTTGATCAAGTGGTCTCATCTTCACCATAAGAAGCCTAAATTGACGCAAATGTCCTTGTCCGAACTAAAGCAAAAAGACCGACTTCTTTTTTGTACTTTCGTAAAGCTTGGATTTTAAGTTTATAGGTTAAGATAGCAATTTAAAAACTTGGAGCTGATCTTGTTTTTTCCACAGGAATTGCTCTCTCCTTTGATGAATGAAATGCTCAATTTTCAAAAAAAAAAAATGGTAATAAGGATGCCAATGTCCTGAACAAGGAGTGCTAAGGCGATTCAATCTCTAGTGCCAAATCGAGCCCGAGTCGCTTTAAGTCTCGCAGAGGTTGGAGATTGGAGCAATCAAAGAGAAAAGGCATGGGAGGGACTTAAAAGGAGACCGAAGACCATGATAAGGTAGTTATAATTCGGAATTGCGTGTGAGCTCTTGTGATTCTGAAAAGGAAACAAAAGCCGGAGAAAAGAAGATTGTTCTCTTGCAAACTTTTTAAAAGCACTTTAGATGATACTCGGTTTGTTGTTCCAGACAATGCCCTTGTTTTCTTCATAGCTATTTACACGACTTAATTTGACTCGAGGACTTGCTCATTGCACGAAACATTCCCACATTTGAATTCGATCACAGTGGCGGTAAGTGATAGTATCCACTGGGAGGCCGGAGGGTCGCAGCCGCACCGATTGCTCGAGGGGTGTCAGGACGAGTTTGGTTAGGCCAGGCCATGATGTGGAGTTGGACTATATCCATTCTCTCAATAGATAAAGCTAGGGTGTCCCTTATTTCTTTGTGATCACAACAGTGTATAAACCCAACAGAGCTAACACTCGAAGGCATTACACTCTTGCCTTCTAATCGAGAGATAACAATTAGTTGCTTTTTGGCATTTGCCTCTTCAAGTAGTTGCTGCAGCCCAGCACGGTCGGCAGCTGAATCCTTTATTACTGAGTAGATGCAGATAAACCCCTATGGCAAATAATCAAATATAAGATAAATACAAAGGAATTTGTTAAACTAGTTTTCTTCTTAGCATAAGCAAATATGAAAAGATCATAATTAAGGAGTTACCTCGTCTGTCCGTTTGATGTCCAATCCAAATCGACCTTCTCCTGGTTCTGGTATCATTTCAAGTGAAACTTCATCAACTCCTGGTAGGAACCATAGCCTTATGCCCTGCAATAATTCTACAGTTGTGGTGTGGTTTTGTTGCTTCCCTCGACTTATTTCCTTTCCACTAGGATTGGTTTTCTCCTTTAGGGAAAAAAAATGTTGCGAAAGATACAAAGCGCACAAAGAGATTAAGTTTATTGAGCAAAAAAAAAAAAACAAAGAGATTAAGTTTATTTTCCTCTTGGTTTAGGTAAAAAGTCATGCATATATCACATGGCTCAAGAACTCATTTAGGAAACTTAACGTCAAGACTAGTAAGGTTGAGAGAAAGAGAGAGAGCTACCGATGTCACAATCTGTTCTGTTTGGATATTGACAAAGACAAGGGGTGCCCCTGAAGATACTGCTGCTGTAAACCAGGCCATGCTCCTGGATAGAGTAGCCTCAATGTAAAATTCACCTTGAAAGGGCAAGAAAAGAATGGAACTAATAACAGTAGATCCTTGGTCCGGCATGTAAGTACCCACTTTCGCCTTCCAATCATACTTCACTTCCTTTCTGTTGAACCCCCTAAAGTCCACATTCAGCACCTTCCTGCTCATTTCTGCAACACCAGACGGAAACCCCCAATTTACTAAGTTTTGCATATTATGGAATGGAGAAAGTTTGTTATTTTAATCCTTTATTATTTGATTCGAGTTTCTCCAGATTCGTTGTCATACAAGGCTCAACCACTCTGTCAATTCAAAATCATGGTTTTTTTGAGAAACTCTAATCCTCTTAGAATCCTGAAGGAAGCAGATTCTTGCATCAAACTCAGCAAATTTCAACAAGCTAATCAAATTTTTGCTTCTAGCTGTTGTGACTGTTCCTTTTTGTCTTAAATTTTAGACAAACTGATTCTCGACCTTGTGGTCTAGCAATAAGTGGAAATTCAAAGCAACAGCCCTGGGGTATGAAGCTAAGATCACATGGTTAAAAAGAACTTTTCACCAGTTTTCCTCAACTAGCATTCATTGTTCTGATTTTGGGGCTGTGTTAGCCAATATTAAGACAGATTGAAGGAAAAGAAGATACTTACCTTGGAGATTAGTGTATTGTTCTAAGGTCAAGTCTCCTAGAACTGCAACATGTCTGTCATCCCTTGCCGCTTTAATTGTGTACTTCCTCTGCAGCATTGAACCTTTCTCTGCAACAACACGAACACGAAGCTTATGTGTTGCATCACCCCTTCTAACCTTCACCCATATCGTCTCCACCTTCTGGCCAATCTTTCCGAGCCGTGAACTTAGTTCAGATCTAGCTTTTACAGGCCGAAATAACTCATCAACATCCTTTTCAGCCAACCCTTCAATAATGTCTCCAGGCAACGGCATGCTCTCATCCCACTCTTCTTGCTCATCTTGCTTCACCCGCTTCACACAAACCAGAGTTTGAACACTGCCCATATTCTTCTTCCTGGAAAAAAGACATTGATTTTCCATGGAATCTTATAAACTTATATCAACAAGGTCTTAGAGAGTTGTGTAACCATCTAGAAACACATCAAGGATGTAGACTTTCATAGGTCTCACCTATGACATTGGTATGTTGGAATCCTTTGTTTTAATATTCATTACGGTATGATAAGGACAAGGGAGCCGGCTCTCAACTTAGGCTCTCCTTGTTGCTGAGATTAAACATAACTAGAAATAGTGAAATTCACATTAATCATATACATCTATGAATTCAACTAATCTTTGGTTGGTCCGTCCACCATGTGTGAATACTTACAAAAAAAACCATACAAACTTCATCAACTCTACTAGCTAACTTGTCTTGTGAAGGAAAAAAGGACTTGTCTCTAACGGAGCTGGAGATATCTAGACTGCTATTATTGAAATTCTGAAGGACACATCACATTACCATTCTAGCAGTTTTGCTGATGTTGACATTGCCTTGTTGCTGAAATTGCTCAAATCATGGCCACCTGCAATAATATTTCCTGTTATTGGTATTGTGAGGACGATTGTCCTGCACCCTGCTGGGGCGAGTATACTTTACCATGGCTCATCTCCAAACAAGAATTTGCAGTTGGCTTATTCTACCCTGATACTGAATTATGCAGTGCTGCTAACTGAAAAGAAGGATGAAGAAGGCCAATCTCATGTTCTTTCAGCAGCTTTAGCGATTGCTGAACAGGAAAATCTACGAGTTGATTCAAGATTCCGAGCTTTAGGTTCCATTGGATCATTCATGCTTGAGGGTCTAGTGAAAAAAATAGCGATGGACTTAGAAGTTGAGAACATCGCCAAAGTAACCAAGGCGTCTAAGGAAGCCAAGATTGCAGAAATTGGAGCTGACATTGAACTATCAACAAACATATCTTTTAGGTGGGGGTCAAATAGGAGAATAGGGAGGAAATGTGGGTCATTTTTCCTGAACTTGCGGTCAAGGCGTTCATCAAACAAAAACTAACGTTCGCTGCATTTTTTGCTCTTTTTATTGTTTAGGAAATGGTAAACGGCTTGGATGGACCTTTGGGCTTATTATTCACCAATAAGAAAAACCATCCTTTCTCTTTTCATTATTTTTGGGAATTAGTTGGACCAAATTCACTACCTTACAGGCAAAGCAAATGCAAATGGATGTTGTCTCTCAAAAAACAAAAACAAAAAATGCATGCTCATGTACTATAAATATTCCATATATACGAGTCTATGATCTTGATTTGACGTATTTATAGTTAAACTTGACGGTTAAGTTTAGGTAAAACAAAAGAGTTGGATTGAAGAGGAAGTGAAATTCGATCACATGGTAATGAGGTTGCCGTGTAAAACAAAAATTGTAAATCAACTTTATGTTATTATTGGTTGTTTTGAGGCTAAGAACAGCATGCTATATCAAGCATGCATGCCCACTTAGCACCAAAAAAGGAATAAAGAAAAAGAAACCACAAATGACACCAGAAATAATAATTAAAAAATATATATTCCAAAAATCTCAAGATCATACAAAAATTGTCATTCATTGCAGGTGGAAAATCATCAAGGGCGATAAAGTGCATCGATCTGTTCTTCCAACGTCCGGATTTCATCTCTAGCTCGATCCCTTGCAGCTGGATTATCAGTTGAATCTGCGATAGCAGTCAATTTAGCTATTTTCCTCCTATTGGCAGTAATCTGTATATGCACCAGAAAAACATGTTGTAAATAAGGAATGTAGCATTTAAATTGAGGCGAGAATGATCTAAGAAAGCCATAGCAATGAAAAAAGACCTCTCTATAAGGCCATCTTCTACCCTTTTTCCCTGTTACTTCATCAAATATGTTATGCAATACAGTTTCAGACAAATTCAACATCCTGGCTGCATCCTTTCTAAGCATTTCGAAAAACGGTTTTAAATCATTGAACGTCATCATCTTTATTCTCTTTCTCTGCATTTCATCCCAAAAAGAAATATAACCCGAATTAGAGTCTAGAATACAAATATCTGAAGTAACATCCAGGTTCAATGAAGGTTCTAATGCATGTACGTAGATATATAATGCAAAGACAAATAATCCATCCTGCCCAGATCCTCTTAACTGAAATAGGAAAGATCAACGGCCTTTAGTATATATAGTCAGATCAGACAGTAGCTACAACCTGTTCACTAAGATTGATTGAACGTCTCCCACTATTGTTGGGGTTCGTTGCCTCATGAGAGCCAGTAGCTGCAACCTGCCCCGCCTGAGAGATACTAGTATTCGCAGCTTCAGCGTTACTGCGGTTCGCAGCTTCAGCAGGGGCAGTAGCTAATACTCGTGCTGTCGGGGGGACAGGATTTCTCTCTCGGTTACTAGTATTCGCAGCTTCAGCAGGGGCAGTGGCTAATACTCGTGCTGTCGGGGGGAGAGGATTTCTCTCTCGGTTACTAGTATTCGCAGCTTCAGCAGGGGCACTAGCTAAGACTCGTGCTGTGGGCGGGACAGGATTTTTCTCTCGGTTACTGGTATTCGCAGTTTCACCGGTCGGAATGCCACCTGCAAAAATTCAAACAATTCTGCTCATAAGAAGATACCTGGATCTCCTGACAACGTATTTTCTATGTAGTTACAATAAGACAGATTTTCACCCATACACACCAGGCCCAAAGCATAGGACTTTAAAGAAAACTGCACGCGGATCGTCATACATGCTCCATCCCTCTTGCTCTTGCTGGATGAAATATTGCGAAAGGAACTTTTCCACGTCCTTGTAGCCTTTATCGTATAAACTATTGAAAGAAAATGAAAAATGAGTTTTATAACTGAGTCGTCAAGATTTTGACCAAGCTAAAATCAAATAAGAGAACATTTAAGCAAGAAAGTGGAGAGAAACAAGAACCTTTAACTTACTCGATATTTTCAGCATCTAAAACTACAGTCGTATCCTCGTCGAAAACATTACTGAGAGCATGAAAAAAACGTCCACGTAATAATTCACCATGAAGCTGTAGTTTCTTAACAAGAGAGCCTGCCATGATAAAAACGAAATATCGTTATCAAAAGAACAACCTAATCACAAGCCAAAACAATCTCACTAGCATAAATTTAAAATAATATATATCCCATTTCAAATAACAAGTAACAAGAAACTCACCTCTGCGATGGGTAATTTCTCTCAACATTTGACAACCACTACAACCAGATGGGGGTGGTCTGCTTAGCCCAACAGAAAGTTTCCCCTTATTCTTATCGAGCCTTTGTGTTCCCAAACCTGTTTCTACTTGAGAATTCTCCAAATTGGGCTCACTATGCATACCCCTTTCGGAATTCTCTAAATTGACCTCATTACGCATACTTGTTTGAGCATTCTCCAAATTGGGCTCGTTATGCATACCCTCCCAATCGGTTGCTATCTGCAAAGGATTAGTAGCTTCCTGCTCTGTAAATGGAGGAATTGAAGAAGGATGTAAAACGGGTTCTTGGACAGGTAATAAGTCTGTTGAATAGGAATATTCGGGTTGTTTAGACTTTCATTTACCAAGTTTGTTTCATCTGATTCTCGTTTTCCCTGAATCTTTGAAGGACCCGACCCAGAGCACCCGCATTAGAGTTATCCTTCTTGTGAGTAAAGATATTAATTAATTCCTCGAAATGATTAACTTTAAATGGTTGCTACGTTTCTCACCTGATGAGATAAAAGGATGTTGCGATGGTTCCTGATCAGTCGAGTTCACACGAGTAGGAACATGGAGATTGTTTAAACCTTCATTTTCGAAGTTTTGTTGCATTTGAGTAGTCGTGCTCAAATTGTTCAATGAAGGATTCGATTGAGAGTTAACGCGTAAATTCCCAGTGTCAGAATTATCTGAAGAAGGGTTTCCAAAAAGAGAAGGATTTAAGTTGTTCAAGAAATCGTTCCTAGTGTCATCCATAAATGGATGGTTCATGTTGCCCATGAAAATGTTCATATCATCATCCGGTAATAGGGGCTCCATGTTGTTCATGAAATTTAGAGCTTCATCCCTAATGGACGTAATGGGTGGTCATCATCAGGAACATAGCATTTGGATCCGCCATACTGAAGACCTGAGAGTGCGTAAAATCTCAGTTTCTTTGGAGGAAAGTTGGACTTTGGAATTGGTTGGTGGTTGCTCCACCGATTTACAGAGAGCCGTGAATAGAAATTTTTGATTCGTTAGTTCATATTTTTTCAATTTATATAGAGTATAGAACTCAATTGGAAAAGGCGCGAGAAGGCAGTTAATGACCGTTGAGAGCAAGCTAACGGTTGGGACTGGGAGTTTCTTGAAACGTTGTTGCCAGCCTGATCAAGTGATCTCATCTTCACCATATGAAGCCTAATTGACGAAAATCTCCTTGTCCGAACTAAAGCACGAAGACCAGAGTATCAGATACAGAAAGTGAAATGAAATGAAGTCAGCGGTGTTCACCTAGTTAGCTCCAAGAATCTCAGTCATTCCTCAATCTCACGCTCCCTTCTCAGCACTCATCAAAACCCTTTCCCAAAAAACATCTTCATTCCAACAATTCCCAGAAACACCAAAACCTGTACAATCAACGATACCAAAAGCTCAAATCAGGACCAATCAACATAGGTAATGGCATTCTCTTAAGCCTGAACAAGCCAGGCACCACCTTCCCTCCCTCTTCCCACCCCTCCTCTTTTCTTTGTTTACTCGTTTCCTTGTGTTATTATGTTGAGTGATCTGTTTGGGTTGTTGTTACAGTTCAGATTGGGATTTGCCAGTTGTCGTGACGCCGGTAAAAAAGGAACATAGAGCATGCTGGAAGCCATGAGGAGGCTGCTCAAAAGGTGCCCACTTGTCCTCTTGCTTGTAATTATTTTATCTGTCTGTATCTCAAGGTTTGACCTTTCTGATTGAAATGAGGGTTTGTTGGGTAAAAATTTGGTAAAATTAAGCTTGCAGTCTCGAATTGGAAGCCTGAAAAAGTAGAAATTTTGTTGCGTGGTGGGTCTTTGAAATTTGTGGACACCAGATAAAGGAAATTTTACACAACGAAACCTCTGCACATAACGACATGATGCTTTATGCATCAATCTTACTACCCAGACAAGCGAACCATGAATTGATGATCACGTTTTAACCTTTCAGTTTGATGACCAAAAACTGTGGGGAATATAAAAAACATTTGTGTCCTGTGAAATGGTTTTGGTTTCACAAATTACATGTAATACATTAAGCAAGTTTTTAAATGAATATAATATCATAGCATCAACTTAAGGCCCTTCCTTTTTTGTTATATTATGTCAGGAAATATGGAACAGCCCATGCCCATATTCAACGGACAGCTTCCCAGTATATGCCGAAGATATTGACGCAGGTGGTGATGCGTCTCCTTCAACAGCTATGCTGTCTGAAGTTGTACAATACTTGTTGCGTCTTTGGTACTGATGGAAAGCTGAAAGCCAAGCACCGCAAGGTAGAGGCACTTCCTATCCGATATGGTATTCTACACCAAATCCAGTTTTGCACATTATTTATATGTGACTGGACTTGGCAAAGGAATGCATTCTGGAGCTTCCTGTTATTTCTTGTCCATTAGGTAGAATAATTTCAGTATTGTACAACGTCTGTCATCACCTGTATACAAGCTCATTCATAGACACATATTACTAGATGACTGGACCATCTAATACATTGGTTTTTGTTATTATGATTCCAAATTTTTGTTTGGTACCATCAAAACCTAGATTTCTGTTGGAAGGAAATGATAATTGATATTTAGTTTTAACTATCTTTTATCTTTTACCACCAACTTACTAGTATGCAAACACCAAATATCAGATGCCAAGTTTAGACAATTCTATAGCTTAATTGATATCATTCTGAAGTCTCCTTTGAAGCTGGTGTGCATTCTATTTATGACATTCCTGTGGAACTACAGATTCACCTCTCTGATATTCATATTCCCGGGAAGATTACCTTTATGGAATCTAAGACCCTTACTGCAGGGGAGACTCCTACCATTGTGGACACAGGTTTGTTTGATTCCATTGGCTTTGCACACATGAACACGTTACCCAGTCCATAATTTTTGTCAGAAGCATTTTCTCCACCATACATTGTATAAATCATCTCCTGTCACAGGCTTTTATATGGCACTTCTATGCTCCTTTCATCTGCACCATTAACTGTGATAAATGCTATATCAAACTTTGTACAATTTGATTTTTCAGACAACTAATCTATGTCAGCAATCTGGTATACTAGTGGAGTAATTTTTTCAAAGTGGGAAACTAATCATCCAACGACTACTTCTTTATTCTCTTATAGTGAACTCTGTTTTTGCTGATTATACTGAATACAGATATCTTAAGCAGCATCCAGATTCAATGAAGGTTTCAATGCATGTACGTGGATATATAATGCAATTATTTTCAAATTCAAATAATCCATCTTGCCCGGAGGCTCTAACTGACATAGGAAAGATCAATGGCCTTCAATATATAAGAGCAATCTGTACACTCAGATTGACTCGACGTCTCCCACTGTTATTGGGGTTCGCTGCTTCAGGAGACCCAGTAGCTGCAACCCGCCCTGCCTTATAGATGCTAGTATTTGCAGCTTCAGCAGGGGCAGTAGCTAATACTCATGCTGTCGGGGAGACAATATTTTTCTCTCGGTTACTAATATTAGCAGCTTCACCCATTTGAATGCCAGCTGCAACAATTCCGACAATTCTACTTATAAGAAGATACCTAGATCTGCTAACAACGTATTTTCTGTACAGTTACGATAACATAGATTTTCACCCCGAAGCATAGGACTGACTTCAAAGAAAACTGCACACAGATGGTCATGCATGCTCCATCCCTCTTGCTTTTGCCTGATGAAATATTGCAAAAGAAAAGAAACTTTTCCACGTCCTTATGACCTTTATCACAAAAACTGAAAGTTTTCCACACATCCTTGTAACCTTTATGGTAAAAACCATTGAAAGACAATGAAAAATGAGTTTGATGATTGAGTCTTCAAGATTTTGACCAACTTATAGTCAAATAAGAAAACAATTAATTAAAGAAGAAGGTGAAGAGAAAGAAAAACATTAAACTTACTCAATATTTTTAGCATCTGAAATTAGAGTAATATCATTGTCTAAAACATTACTGAGATTATAAAAAGGAGTTCAGATAGTAATTGGTCATGAAGCTATAATTTCTTAACAAAGACGTCTATTGTGATAAAAACGAAATATCTTTACAAAAAACAACTTAATTACAAGCCAAAAAAAATCCCACTAACATAAATTTAAAATAAAATATATTCTATCTTAAGTAAGAAGTAAAATGAAACTTACCCTTTACATAATTTCTCTCAACATTTCGCAGTCACTACAATCATATGGGAGTGGTCCGGCTGGCCTAATGGAACGTTTCCCTTCTGCTTATTCTTATAACCTATCTCTGCTTTACCCACATGAGAATTCTCCAAATTAGACTCATTCTCCATTTTACTAATTAAGATAAAATAACTAGATTTTTTTTAAAATTTTAATCAAAATTATATAAAAGTTAATTAATTTTTGAAATGGACGCTACTTTAAAAATACAAATATCGTTGATAAAAATAATAAAAATTAAAATATTTTTTAATTAATTAAAAAAATTATTGTTATACTTTTTAAAAAAAATTAAAAAAATAAGGAGCCTCAATCGAGCTTCCTAGGGAAGCACCGGTGCTTCCTTAAGGAGCTCGATCAGGGCTCCCCAGGGGAGCTCTGATGCTCCCAATTGAGAGCTCTTTGAAAAAAAATTATATAATGATAATTATAAAATTTAATTAATGATAAAATTATTTTTTTATCTTTATCATATTAACAAGTTAATGAAAATATTAATGATTGATTAACTATTCAATTAACATTTTTTAAAATAAAATATATATTTTAAAAATTAATAAATTTTTTTATATTTTCAATCAAAATTCAAGAGTTACTCTAATTATTAGTGATTATGTATACCGGGTTGAGAATTCTCCGAATTGGGCTCACTACGCATATCCTCCCAACAGTTGCTATGCGTAAATGATCAGTAGCTTCCTCCTCCGTAACGGTTGCGACTGGGAATTTTTGTGAAACGTTGTTTGGCAGGCTTGATCAGGTGATCTCATCTTCACCAGAAGAAGCCTAAATTGACGAAAATCTCCTTGTCCGAACTAAAGCCAAAAGACGAGAGTA